AAATTAAATGGTTTTTTTTTTTTTTTAAATAAAGTATGGATATACATACTTATTTATGCCTGTTAAGGTAAGGGACGGGGCCGTCGTCTTTGACGAAAGGGAGGGCGCAAAAAAAAGGTGTAGAAAAAGACGCGGAGAGAAAAAACAGCCGCCGTCCCATCGCGCTCCGAAACAGAGAGATGACACGAAAGAGGTATAGGTACATATAAGTATATATATATATATATATACAAGCTGAGCCGCCTCTTGCTCTCTCGGACCATTTTTATCTTTCTCTTATATATATTATCTCTCGCGCGTCCGATATATATATATATATATACACGCACGCATCCCTCTCCGACTCTCTGGTGGTGGCTTGCGTTTTTGTGCACACACGAACAGGATAGAAAAAGAGATATGACGTCCGGAGAGACCCGCGGTGCAACACCCGTATAATATATACGAGAGAGCTGTACTTATAGCTGCAGCAGTTGTCTCTGTGATGCTGTACCATTTATGCAGTATAATATAGGTACAGAGGAAGAGTCGCAGATATATTATATACACGCGGGGGTATACGTATACGTTATACTTGATGCGCCGCGCGCGCGTCTCTCCTCCACCACCAGTAGCCATAGGGTTCTTTCTTCTCTCTCGCGCCTCCCCCCGTATAATACATATGTATTGTATGAAACAAGAGGGAGAGAGAGAGAGAGAGAGAGAACGGGTAGCAAAAGTAGCAAGTGCCCCTGGATCGAGCCCCCATCGCATCAGTCGTCTCTCTGCTCTCGTGTGGTTTACCTGCGACGGGGATATCGTGTGCGCCGAACGGACCTGCTGCTTTATCTTTCTTCTCTGCAGTGCTCCCCCCTTATATATACTTACTTATTATCTCGTCGAACGTTGTTTTTTTTTTTTTCCTCCTCCTCCTCCCCTTCGTTCGCTCAACAAAGTCGAGGGATCAACTGCACCGCCGACCGCTACTCGCTTTAAACATTGGGTGCACATCCATCACTCGGCGACTCTTCCTCTATACATCGCGGGATATACGCACATAATTTTGATACAAATAAAAAAAAAAAAAAAAAAAAACCTATACACCAGGTAGGTGAAACTGCGATCATTGCACGTATATTTGCTATAATAATAATATACTGTATTTTGTTTTATCATAATTTTTCCCATGACAATAGTTGCGATGAAGCGTACCATTGCGTTATTATTGCGCACCGCTCGGTGTATTTTTTTTTTCCCCTCCACTAATGTCTTGCACCTATAATACCTTATATATATATGGATGATACGAGACGCGCTTTGATCGCCAATTGCATGTATAGGTACCCTGAATCAGGGTACATCGTATAAATTCATGGGGAGTTACGGTATTGTGAAATATATAAATATATATATATA